TACAGACCACTAAAAGGATGCTTTATGCAAATCACACCTTTATAAACTAAACTAGGTTAAGAAGTCTAAATTATCAAGGTTTTCAGATAATTCAGTAATTTACATGTGAAAAGAAAATGGATGTACTTTTTCCTAATAGCTTTGTCATCTCCACTACAAATTTCTTGCAGATGAACTGACCTATTCCAGCTAAAATCATCAGAGAAGCAGAGTCTGCCAAAAGCAAATCTATCAAGTAAAAAAAGGAAATGTCTTGTCTACAGTAATAAGATTTGGTCCAAGACACTATACAATATAGCTGAACTACAAATCCCCAATTCCAGCTACTGTTTCCTAGTCATTGCTGATGGAGAGAAAGTGAGGGAGGACAGAAATCAGGAAGGGTATAGTGAATAGAAAACAGAAAATTACATACAGTATAGTTTAATAAATATAAAATTGCATTTCTGGCTCTGGTGAGTAGGCTTATGGTTGTTAACTCTCCTGCAGTTGCTGTCTGCACCTACATGTACTGGGCTTCCAGAGGAGTTAGTAAATACAGGGTTGCTAGGGAGCTGCACTCCCCTAGCTCAAGCTACTTTAAAAGTTTTGGTTGCTCCTTGGCCCCCTGCCCCGCACATTTTCCATCTCAAAGCATATGGGGACGTGACAGCTACACTCAAACTAATCTCCACTGACATGAAGTCTGAACATGGCTGCTAGCGTCTAAAAGGGGAAGAATCCTGGGACTTACCCTTACTCGAGCAGTTCTTCCTCACACAATTAGTTCACGGACTTCAAACAAAGACAGGGCTCAAAAGTTATTCATGTATGGCTCTGGTGTCAGGGCATAAATCACAGACCCAGAATCAAAATGTATTCACTCATTATCACCATGGAATACTTGCATTTTATTTAGTGATAAATACATTTGATTGCTTCTGTGCTTGGCAGAAATGAACTAGGACAGATTTGATAACTCTGCTGATAACTGTGTATCAGAGAAGGAAACTGCCTCAAGAATAAGTATAGTGAGGTGCCAGGGTCGGATCCTGTGGGCCTGGTTTTATGCAATATTCTAGGGGCTTCCATACTTCTATTGCAACATTGCCACATATAATCGCACAGATATTGGATATATTTGTGCCCTTCCCCAAAGACGGAAAGCCTCATATCTTTTATACTGAAAGAAACAAAAAAAGGGGGGGGGGGGCAGAGGAAGAGGAAAAATTCATTCCAGAAAAGTCAGGAAATTAAGGACATCTATTTTGTCTTCTATACATTTCTCTCAAAAATTATGCTGCTTCATATATGAGATGCCCTGAAAAGATGAAACACTTGGCAGCAATGTATGATGTACCCCAATGGAAGTACCTGGCACTGAATTCCAAGTATTACTTAGGTGTTTCAGTAACTAACTATCTGCTAGTCAAGAAATTTTAAAACAAGAACCACATTCCACTCTATACTTTCTTTAGAGTTCAATGTACATCCACGTATTAAATGTATTCATTTAGGTCTGTTGTAGGTACAGCAACAACGAAATACAGCCACCTCAGAATAGTGTCTGATGAGCATTAAGTAGCACACGATGACACTGCAAACAGCTCAGGACAAAAAATGAAAAATCACTGGCATTTGAGGTTAAATCTGTTGGACTGCAGATCAGCTTTCTGAGGGAAATGATCTATCTTTTAAGACATTTAAAAACTAGACTGTAGAAAATACTAAATTGCTAGATGATTATTGTTAGCGCTGTTTCTCTTGTCATCCCACCTCTTCTGATATTTTTATTGCAACAATATATCAACTCTAACAATTTTCCTACTGTACATGCAACTTGGTGCTAAACAAGAACTAACCTAAGGCAAATAGATGGTGTGTTATTAAGATGAATGATGTGTTGTGATCTGTTTGAAGTACTCTTGAATTGATTAATAAAATGAGATTTTTTTTTAATCAGCATGTGCCATGTAGACTTGATAGAATGAACTGTCTCCATGTAAACTGAGGCATTTTATTTCAATTTCAAACCCTCAATCAGAACCACTGACACTTCATTTAATACAATATTCATTAACCTTAGCCTTTTAAAGAATATTGTCCAGTAATAAAGCTCAGCACACTAAAAGATACATTTGCACTACGTTCATTTCATAGCCATAAAAAAAGATTGCATTATACATAAAACTATCCATCTGGTCTCATCATCATTTTCACACACACACACAAATCCTCTCCAAAAAACAATATGCTGTTTTGTTTGCAAACTCTAAAGAAGTGGAAATTAAACTTCTGACAGCATGTAATATTTTACAGTACAGTGCGTGCCTTTTACTCAGGAAGAAATAATAGAAATGACAATGTTACATTTTTCAGAATCATTATTTAATTGTCACAGCCTTCTGGTGTAAAGTGGGTACATCCCTCCTGAGCAGACAGAGACCATGGAAAAGTGAAGCAACTTACCAAGGCCACCCAACAAAATCTCTTCCCTTGCCCCAGTCTCGCATCCCTACATCTTGGTATCTCTGCAAATGCCATGTTCCATGGTCCTCTTTCTAGATAAGTTACAACGTGGCCAAATCTATACCAGACTGCCTGTAATGGAAATGGGCACAGAGACCTTGTGCATCACAATCACAGCACATGCCCAAGTTAGCACAAGTGCAAAATTAGAAGTCTTTATCATGCACAATTTTCTGCATAACCAGCTTACAACTGATCCATGTACCCCTAATTAATAAACAGGTGAAAAATAGTGTGTGGTGTTGGTAGAGCAGATGTAACGGAGAGTAGGTACTGTTATATGCCAACTACCAAAACAAGAGTGCACAACAAACATTTTGAAGATGAACAGCTACTCTTCAACACCTTCAGAAGAACTGAGGATGTACAGCTGTGTTGGCTGGTACCAGCCTTGCAACGAAGCAGTCAGCTATAGAAAGCACAATTTTTGGACAGTGCAGTGTCTAGCCTACTATTCTCCTTTTTTAATCATTTTCTCTATACTCCCTTTTATTCAAGATACTCATGACTTCAGGAAGATTCATCTCTAATAAAATAGTGTTCTGAGTGAAAGTTGAGTGGCCAGCTGTAGGTAAGACAGCAGGCCAGACCCATCGTGGGGGGTCACCTGTCCTACACAGATCTCTCTCGCTCTGTAAGTAGACAAGTAGGTAGATACATACACGCATGCCCTTAAGTTATCATATGCAGAACCTCATCAAGACGCCAATCCAAAAGTCAACTGAGTGTTGAGCAAAACACAATTATAAGCGAAAGCGGGTAACTGCTAATAAGTATCATCACACAATCACCATGGTTTCACATGCACAGGCAAACCTTAATTCAGTTTAGGGATAATGACTGCCTACATGACCAGGTGGTTTCTTTAAGAGTAACAAAAACTTTCTAAATGTGCCATTTATTCCCCCTCCCCCGGGCCACCCCCAAATACAGCTGAGATTTTATCACCAAGCTGTGGGCACAAGTACTTCCAAGAGACAAGCTGCAAATGTTTCTGAAAGGATTTTTAAGGGCACACAAAACTGAAAAGGCCCACGAGCAACGGTAACGTCATGAGTTGGAAGAACGCTCTCGTTTTGGGAACAGGAATGATTTGATTTCTTATCAAGCAACCAAGCCAGCGTGCCGATATAAGGCCTGCTGTTTTCCTGAAAAGAGAACTTGACAGAAGCCACCTCTGGAACTCATCCGGCATTTGCAAGAGGGCGCCGGGCATGGAGCAGGGAGGAGAGTCAGGGACTTACCCAATACAGCTGCTTTGGAAATCCCCTGCCTTAAATGAGGGAAAGCTGCAGCAGTGCCCTGGGCTGCGGCTCTATCAAGAATATCGATGCTTGCACATTGGAGGGGAGGAAGCCGGAGAAACCTGAGGGCCGCCTGCCAGCCGTTAGGGGCAGGACCCGCCATCTCTCACCCCCGGAAGAGAAGCGGGTGACTTCAACCCCTCGGGGAGGGCCGGCTGCGCGCGAGGGGAAGCCCGGCATGGGCGGAGGGGGCTCTGCAAAAGCACCCGGGCAGCAGGACAGAGCCGGGCACCGAGGGGAGATGCCCGGGGAGCGGGCAGGCGTGTGTCGGATCCTCTCACCTCTTGTATGCGCTGCGTCCTCTCCCCCCCCCCGGCTCCCCCGGGGCCGAGGATACCTGTGGGACACGGAGGGCCCCCCCCTGTGGCCCGGGGGCTGCGCTGGGTGGCGGGGGGAGGCCGGAGCCGCGGACACACGCGCCTTCCCGCCCCCCCGCCCTTCCCGCGGGTTATTATTA